TACCTGTAGTATTGATCATTCCACCACCGTTGGGCTTCTCCCCGTAGGTACCCCTGCACGAACGTAATTTGATAAGGGTTCTGCCCCTGGTCATTCATCGTGTAGTACATCGGGAATACCTGGAAGTACACCTCGCAGTGATGAAGGAAACGGTTAATGTCAGATGACACCCCCATGAAGTATTCCGGCTGAGTGATCAGCTTGGGCTTGACGTCATTCCAGGGATTGTTCGCCGCACCCGGGGCCAACACAAAAGGCGGGATGGGATCTGGCGGAGGAGGTACTGGTGGCTTGGGAGGCCTCGAGAGGGATTGCAAGTGTGGGTTATTGTTGGGCGGCGGGTATCCCTCTGGGTACCTGCTCGGTGGCCCGGGTATCGGCCGTTTCAGTACCGTGGACTCTTTTCCTTTTGAGGACCCAGCGCCTGGATCGTCCCAGAAGCCGTCGCCTTCTTCCTCTCCTCCTGCGCCTGCCCAGAACTCCATGGTTTCCAAAGGGTTCAGCATCGGTTGGGGACAGCGGTATGGTTCACAATCCCTTTGTCTTGCTTCGGGGTGCACCTGGTTCCACACGATAGCCGCTCGGTGCCAGGTTTCCACCTCCAGAATGTTCTTCATGAGGTACACATCCCCGGTGTACCTCGCGCTGCGATAATCTTCCCCTGCCTCAGTGAAGAGCCACTGGGGGTCTCTCTCCATGTCCTCCATCATGATTTCGTATAGTCCTTCCCAAGGGAGGATATTGAATATTGCGGGAAGCGGCGCTCCAGGCCTGGTGAGAACTGTCCTTATGGCGTTCATCACCTGCGTCTCCAACGTCACGTTGGGAGGCCTACTCAGCATCCTTCCCCTTCTTCCTCTCTCTGGCGAGTCGGTCGATCTCTTTGTTTCTCCTCCACCGCCCAATGTTGGAGTCCTCGTCGGTGATCTCTGACTGATAGGCTTCCCATGCTCTTCGTCGCACCTCGAGGTCGGTTCCGGCACGTTCGGTGCGTCCGGCATATCTAAGGGTGGCAGCGCGCTGTCTGTTCTCGACCTCGGCGGGGGTGGCATCGGGTTCGAGGGGAAGGTCGTGGTAGTCGGGTCCGAGGAGGGCGGCAATTTCAGCCCTCCGGATGCGTGTATCATGCGCTCTTGCGGCGTCCATTTGGGCCTCTCCTTCTGGGGAGAGCCAGGCATTTCGGGGGAGTTCGAGCGACTCGACAAGGGTGTGGTAGAGTAAGGGCCAGGGGCGTTGGTATCGAGGGACGGGGTCGGCAAACGCTCGACCCGCGACCGACGGAGTGAAAGGGGTGACGGTGGCGAGGTCCCCGGCGCCGGCAATTGTGCTAAGTTCCTCGGGGTCGTAATCCGGGAACTCAGCCCAGAGCTGCTGATCCGTTGGTTCAGGCCTGGCGACGGGGGTAGGGAGTGAGTCGGCTTCTGGTATGGCAGGGAGGGGCCGCTTGGTCAACTCTCTGGCCACAGGAGTCTCTTCCCCTGTGTCGGCGTAGACCCAACTGGTACTTGGGTACCAGGCGACCGGGGGCCCTCTGTTAGCAGGCCAAACACGTCCATGGGGCCTTGCTCCATCTGAACTGGGGGTAGACACGGTGGAGGCCCCAAGGCCAAGCTCTCCAGGATCATCGTCAGAGTCATCTCTCCTTCCCTCCTCATACCTCCTTCACTCACTTCCCCAGTCGGCGTCTGTCCACTTTGTCTGGGATCTCCCACTCCAGCTGTCTCCAGTATAGGTTGCATCTTCCTCCTCGTTCGGGTAGAGGTCACCGAGGAGGTCTTCGAGTCTAATTCTTTCGAGGTCTGAGAGCTTGTCCCCTTCGAACTCGGTGTCAGGGCTTTCTTCGCCCTCGTCCAGAGACCTGGTGCCTTGTCGTCCCCTTCCATCAGCGCTTGACTCACCTTGGACTGGAGACTGGTCAAAGAGGCCTGGTAAGGGTGAGTCTCCTCTGTCGAGGAATATGCCCCGGGTATCTGTGATGTCGACAGTAGTGCTTCTGTAGGAGTCGGTGCTCGACCCTGAGGATCGCGAGCTGGGTCGCGATGATCCGTAGAGGGATTCTCCAGGTTCCCTGGAGACGTTGGATTCGACATCTTGTAGAGTCTGTTGAGATGCCATGGGAATGTGTATTACTGGTGGTGGGTACGCGGGAGTGCTGGGAACGTAGTGAAATGGGAGTTGCGTGCGGACTCTCCTCTGTTGTCGGAAACAGCGGTGTAGTCGGTACAAAATAATGGACAAGAAAAAGAGTATGAAAGTCGCGAAGACGGCGGGAATGGCGTCAGACCAGGGCATCCGTTTGGGAGTCTATCCTTCGTATAGTCCGACAGTTACGATTAACCATGCGACTGTTAGGACGGGATAGAGCTCACTCGTCGTTATCAGCACGATGACGGCTGAGATTATGACAGCTTGTACGATGACAGGGAATGGCGTCAGTTTGGATAGGATGGGGTCTTTTTTAGAGTCGGATGATCCTGATGAAGAGTCCTACAAAGTAGGCCACGAATAAGGGGGCCGGTATGTAGTATCGACACAGGACGATGGTGATTGCTACCCTGATTAACACTGAGGTTAACGGGTCTTGCAACAGGAAAGGCAGTGCCCGAAGGACAACTGCGAGGAATATGAGGATTGGATATAGAATGTTGGGTAACGTTCGTTAATGCTAGGCAATGTATGACGAGCTTCGGCTAAATGTTAACAACCAACTAATCGTCGACTTAGATCAAACTAGGATCACCACTCGCACTTCGGTGGTAGATACTCTAGCAGGTCAAAGGCGAAGTCAAAGTCGACTGTGGGCACGTAGACGCGAAGAACGGAGTTCGAGTTGGGTAGATTAAACCTTAGCTGAAGCTGGGGTTTAGACCAGTGGAGGCTCTACTTAAATACAAGTGGATATGCTAATAATAGGACTGTGAGAAATGATCCGTAGGGATCGCATATGAGTAATCAAGCTGAGTAAAACGAAGAAAAATGAATAAACCGTAACATTGAGCCCCTCACACATTTGAAGGGTTCCCTGCTTATCCCAGAGTCCCCACTAGTCACCAACTTGAGCCGTTTGTACTTAGCATACTCCAACACACAAGGCTGTGAACCTCATTGTATTAACAAAGAGATCATTCAGCCAATTAGATACTGCTGAAAGGTCCAAGCCAGGGGAGTATAGCATAGAACAAAAGCCAGGTGGCAGAGAGGATTAGGAAGCTCCTGACAACGAGAGTTTTAACTGAAGAAGACGCCAGAGGCCTTCCTCTTTAGCTCAGTGATTTACAAGATTGGAAAATTTTGAGCATTGGATCATTGAACTGGAATGGATGTGGTCTCGAACAACATGAACATTCGGGATGAAAGCCATCCTACGAGGAGGATGGGTCAGCCACTCAATCGAGTCTTTGTTCTGCATCAAGCGGAGGCACGGGTTGTCATCTGCTGCTAGCGGAATTACCATGGATTCCTTACAACATCATGTTTGCGTGCATATCGTCTTTGTGACCAGTGAAGGTTGATAGGTGCTAAGGGGGAGGAGATTCTGAATGAGGCTGAACGCATTGTATGATATGCAGTATGGTGGGAAACGGTGTTGTTCTCTTAGACGGACCTCGATGTATAGGTAAGATGCAGATGCTATCTTCATGATGACATTGAGGATGGCTGCAGAATAAATGGGGAAGCGGAAAATTAGGTAGAGGACTGACTGTTCCTAAGCGTTCCTGCTGAGAGCACATAGATATCTTACATAGTACCCAGAGCACTAGTCTGTGGATGATCATGAAGCAGTTAGGGCAAGACATAACCGGGTGCACTTTGGTTGTATAAGGTAGTCCAGGACAGACTTCCGACCTTGACCTCGGTCTGCCAAGTAAGTCCAAAGAAATAATTGTACCAGGAAGATTAGAGGCGACAGTGGTAATAATCAAGTAAACATGCATGTAGTTGAAGTCGTGCAAGATCCGGTGCAGTCTCTTTCAGCAAAGAGCTGTCAGAAAGAAGCGGTGTCAATGTTACCAGAATGTTACAATGAAGATGGTATGAAGATTTCAAATCCAAAGGTTCTGGGGCGCTGGAAACGTTTCTTGGAGGCTGCTTTTGGATACTGTTAGAACCCTAAGTGAATGAAGCAATTAGGATCCAAAGTCATGGACCGTCACACTCCTTCCGCTTTCGTTGATCGCACCCTATCATATCATTTCCCCTCTTCGTCGAAAACCCCTGCAGGAAAAATATTTCTTTCTCACTTTTCGACCTTTGGCAAGCTTAATAACTATCTACTAGCACTGTCGAAATCCAACACTCAGTAATAGCACCTCAGCTCAAATCTATTTTTCGAACTGATGGTTACATCACTATGGTCTGGCTCTCTACTCGGCTTCTCTTGTTGTTCACAACAAGCAAAAAATGGAGTACCTATTGGTTCTGGTATACTGTTTATTTGTCACTAGTAGGTAATGCCAAAATGCAAAAAAGAAAATCTCCGCAAAGCTCCTAATGTTCAGAACTCTTAGGCTGCAATTGAAAAAAAAAAAATTGAGATACAGGTGCAGAACTCCGATCCATCTATACTATTTCAGTGGTGGTTATTACCTTCATTTCCATTGTGATGGTGTTTCTGATCATGTCCTATTCCCATGGCATGCCACAAGAGTCCTAACTTAACTGCATCAGTAGATCCGCAAGACATAGTTCTTACCGAACTCGCATGAACAAGGGGTCACTGATTTTGGGTTTTGGTACACAAATGTCGAAAAAAAAATTAACGGCTAGACCTGTGACTGGTCCCTACATGAGCAAGCGTCGATGGTAGGGACCTGTACGGCTGAGTTTGAATTCCCTTTGATAAATCTACGGAATTGCCGGATCCCAAAAAGGTCAGAGAAGGGGCTTCCATATTTAGGTTTTACTGGTGATCGTAGTGATCTCGACGCATTTTGACCCGTTTTCTTTGTTTACCACCATCTCATCTCTTTGTTGAATGCACTGTTACCATAAATCACCAAATGGGAACAATATCTGGTTCTAAAACTATCTTTGAATCTCTCGACAACATCAGGAATGCTGGCTTTGATGATCTCTCTCAGTACATCACCCATTTTGTTGATGTGGATCATGTTCCATCAACGTACATCTCTACGCTTTCACGAGACCAACAGATCATCTGCTACCGTCTCTTTCTCTTGGCTTACCTTGTGACCTGTGGAAGGGAGGCACCTAGAGAGATGCAGCTTCGAGCAGCATTAGCCTCGTATGAAAGAAGGGACTCGGCGGTTATTGCAGGGACAGGGTCGGGAAAAACCCTTATCATCGCTCTTCTTATCTTGTTGGACCACCCTTCGAATGGTGTCAGCATCACGATATACCCTCTGAAGCACCTTCAATTGACCCAGGTACGTAACATTAGCTGCTTGGCAACCGTAATTGGAGCTCATATTGCGGACTACGTAGGCGAGAGACTTTGTTATAAAGTACAAGATCAATACTATTGCAATAAATGATGATACGTCACGGAATCAGTCATTCTGGGATGTACGGTGACCTTCTGTTACGTTTATATACTCAAATTTACGATGTTCGACAGAATATGATATTTAATGGCAAAACCAAGACGCTGGGAACTGTCAAGCACTTCATTGTAACTACGGAACAAGTGTTCAAATCCAAGGAAGGATATCTCACACGATTTGGTCATCTCATCCGGACGCTGGCGTTTCGGAAAACAATCAGGCATGTTTTTGTAGACGAGGCTCACTTCATTTATTTCGCTGGTACTCCACAGTACAACGTTCCCGCATTCCGACCATCCTGGGGTCGCTTGAATGAGATAAAAATACTCCCCTCCATTCCTTGGCAGGTATTAACAGCGACGTCGCCACTTCATGTTCTCTCGGTCATTGAGAGTGCTGTCCTTCACTTGGAGTTTAAAGTTGAGAGGACATGTCCAATGAAAGAGGGGTGTAAAATACACCAGAGAAGGACTTAAATCGATTTCTATGGCTGGCAGACATGACGGACAGGGAAAATACACGAAAACGCGTCGAGATCACTACGATCACCAGTAAAACCTAAATATGGAAGCCCCTTCTCTGACCTTTTTGGGATCCGGCAATTCCATAAATTTATCAAAGGGAATTCAAACTCAGCCGTACAGGTCCCTACCATCGACACTTGCTCATGTAGGGACTGGTCACAGGTCTAATTAACGGCCCATGAAGCTCAACCTACCTACCATATGGCGTCATTATGATGACAGTATACTATATATGGAATCCTTGTGCCTGCCCCGTGCCCCACGGCTTCGCCACGTTCTCGACTCTCTGGACTCGGTTAGGGTACCAAAGATGAGGTCATGGCTTTCTAGTCACTCACTGGCGGAGACATGCAATTTCCTCCTTCCTCAGATGGTAGCTTCAAGTCCACAGGAAGATGATCTAACCGAAATGAAAGCAAACTATTAATGTCTGCTACATTGGTATGCATCTGGGGACCTGATAACTGATTTTATTTCCATGCCCAGCACCTCAAAGCCAGCCTAGAACATGGGAAATCCTTCCTCAAGGTGATCAGCATCAACCGGATCGTATCGCAGGGCACATATCGATGTTACTTTTGGCATGTGTTATGGATCTGCCGAAATCCGGAGATGCGAGCACGAGGTGAGGAGTGATGATCAAAGCGAGGTATGATTAATTAGAAATGATGTACGTCGTTAGGGAATATAATGGATTCCGGCGAGGGTTCGTGAGGAGACCTGAGAGGTCCTGTTTGTGAAATAAAGAGATCAGCAAGCGCGAAGCAATTACTGAGGGAAATAGCCGGTAAGCGCGGAGCAATTACCGATATAGAAAGCCTGTAAGCGCGAAGCTATTACGAGCCGTGGGTGAAGGCAAGCGCTAAGCGTAACCTTCAGGTTTGTGTCAGAAAGCGCTAGGCGTATCCAACGAGTTGTTCAGCAAGCGCTAGGCATAGCTGAGGGTTCACGCAGTGAAGGTGTCCTGAAAGTGGTAGATTGGTAAAAGCTTTTTTAATACAATGTTACCTATGAGTTTATACACTAAGGAAAGATTAGAGTCATTATTATTCTATAATGTTCCATAATATTCTAGTATCAATATGAAGAATAGAGAAAGTAAGAGAAAGTACGAGCGAGTCACTACTAGGACCGAGAAGGCCGAGTTCGGGCATGTGTTGACTCATGCACCGAATCAGTGGATACCCAATATCCATAACAGCATGCTCTGACCCTCACAGGTGCATATTCCTGTGATGAAGAATCGTGTGGTTTGTTGGTGGTATAGGAAGAAGGGAAGAAGTGTTAAGGCTCATCGTGATGAGGTTAATGCGCTGTTTGATTGGACGGGCTTCATGGATGATGGTGCAGAAAAATGACTATGCCTGGTAAGACTTTCCCTGCTTCCTGGCACGCATCACTGACAGTGCGAACCCAGACGCGGAAATGGTTCCACGCAATCATATAGCCCCACATCATATAGACGAACAATCTCAAACTCGACATCCTCTCCAACAACTAACCATATTCCTGCGATGAAGATGCGCCACGCCTACTGATCCGCCTCTCGCTGGCTCTCCTCTCCCTGAACCACCTTCACTAGATCCCACGTATCCAAAGCCCTCCAAGGCTACCAGCTCCTGGTTGTATCTAAGGGAAATATGGTCGGTCCTCATGGTCTGGGTTATCGGATGCGGATACCGGTTCGCAGATTGGTCCCCGAGAAGCACGTTGTCGACTAGAGCGAAGCTTAATGCAGAACGTAACTCCCAATCAAGTATCTTGGATAGGTAAGCACTCGTCCATCTGGTGAACTACGCTAATTTATGTAGGCTACAGAGAATCGAACTCCTGCATCTGGACGACAACGGGACGACTTCTGCCTGCGTCCAGTCCACATCACGGGCAAAGTCCTAGCTCTCAGAGACAACTTCCACGAAGCGCTCATCTGGAACTAGAACTCGGTGGCGTAGGGGAGTTGCAGGTATGGTTCCTACAACTACTATAATCACGCTTATTCATCCCATCCACTCATAGTATGATGACCGCATCCCCAGTTATCCACAACCCACCCGCCACCCTCATCGTCTGTGCCCGATCTGGATCACTCTCTACAACACCCCGGTAGTGGGCGCACCCACTCTGTCAGGCAAGTCGGCCCACCAGCACTACACCCGCCCTCTGTCCTCATCCGCTTAGCGAAACAACAACCCCGAGCATCTGAACTAACTTCCCTCTCCCTCTCTTTCCTCATCTCCTGATGCGGAGCCCTCCGATGCCAGGTCCCCTGCCATTGTCACGCAATGGTCGAACACGCAGCTATCTTCCGTAGTCCACTGCCCAAGTCCTCGTTCTCGTCCAACAATTAGACGTCGTTGGATTATGATGAAGACTGTTTTTCAGGGATATTACGATTGTTCAGGTGTACAGGATTGTATGCTGTTTATGCGTCCGAGAGAATGCTGAACTGATGCACCTTCGGAATCAGGAGAAGCCTCACCGACACCGTTCGCAGCGACTGGTTGTTGCTAGTTGTTGCTATGGATTCGGGTATGCTTTGGGAGGGGTTCGTTGTCTTCCCGCTCATAGACTTGCTGGGTGTTCTTAGTATCGGACCGCAGAAAGAATGGCAGGAAGGAGTCCCAGATACTATTCCACTGACGCATGGACCCTCGACGCGTTTCTATGTCATCAACAAAAGTATCCTGGCATGCTACACCGACTACTACTCGCTTCTCTCAACAAATGTTATATTTAAGCAAACACGCCTCAGTCCCGACGTACTGCGCATAGGCATGTAATCATTCCAGGCCTTTCTACGACGAATACCATCCCATTTCTCTCCCCTTCTTCTCTGCCGAGTGAGTATTTCACTTGTACATGATCTCTGGTTGTTGAATGCAAGCGCTCACAAGAGTACACGAATGCATCCGAGTTTTGTGTTCTTTCCGATTACCATCCCATATACCGGTCTCCAAATGCTCTAATCCGGAGAAGCAAGACGAGTTTCGCCGCCTCACCCGCTTCCAAGGGGCACGGTGAATTCTGCGTTCGTGTTTGCATGCGTGCATTTGCGTTTAAATGCATGTGTTTGTCACGCTTGCGTTTGCATGTACGAACTTGACAAAGATGCGTTCATGCGTAATAATACTTTTATGTACTTTAGCTATCAAATAGATGGAATGTAACAGTCTAATGTACTCGTAAAAGATCTCAGCACTGTACTTTGATGCCAACAAGGTCTCATCCCATAGAAGGACACTCCCTGATTAAGTGTGAACCCACCTGATCACTCATGTGGATATTTCCCTCCGGAAAACACATCTTGAGGGCTTCCAGGGATATTGGACTATGTTAGAGGTATGAAAATAGTATGAGCAATATAAACAGATCGGAGGAAAGAGAACCAGTTCAAGGCGTCTCAGCTAAATCTTGGTAGGTTTCCGCAAATTATAGTGAGATATATATATCAGGAATCCATTGGAGAATCTCTCTTAAGCTTGGAGAATGTAGCCGAGCACATATGAAGTGCAATGGGAGAAGCCACCACAGTTCAACTCGAGTTCAACGCAGCCTAACGCAAACATGACATGCCATCACAACCATCATCACATTTGCATTCTCGTTTGCGTTTTGTCTCGAACGCATGCGTTAGTTTGGGCAACACATGCGTTTATTACAACGACGCTCACGTTCTATTTAATAACGCATGCGTGACTTATTTTTGAGTTGCATAAGCGAGTTGCGTCAATTCAAGAGGTGCACACAAGTTTTTCGGTTTACCAAAAGCCCAACAAATGCAAGGGTTCACAACTGATTCAATGCGAAATGATACTGAAGTAAGAGAATTATGTTCTAAGACATATACTAGTTAAAATCCACGCCTTTATGGCTTTCCAAGATAGTTTCACACTGTTTCAATGTCATAGAAAGCTGCCGATACATGTCCAGTAAATACGTCGAAAGTAGGTAAGTGCGTCATATAAATACATATGGTAGTATTATTCTTGAAGGTAGACTAACTATTAGCAGGTCACGCACTTGAACGCATCGAAGGAATGCAAACGCATCCGAGTTGAATGCATTCAAACTGAAAGGTACTAACTATGCTAAGGAAGGCGAAGTGCTACACACACACACCCTAACACACCCAATAATTGCGGTTCGAAGGGGTAAGTTACACCGGGTCGATGCTTGTACTGTGGATACTAGTTCCGGGTTGATAATGAATATAATTTGTTTGATTGCAATATTCTGAAACGACACAAATCTGGACTTTCTGTGTTACCGAACACAATCTGATACCAATGGGCTGCCTGGTGCAGTTTCCTGAATGCGTACTAACTGCCTGGTGCAGTGTCTGAACTGATACTGTCTGCCTGGTTGCAGTTTTACTGGTGCTAACACGGATTCTGGACTGTACTTCTGACTGTCTGTCTGTATCTTTCTGAACTGACTGCTTTCTGAATGGTTCTTGCACACAAAACGTGACCAGGTCACTAAATACAATTCCAGGTGAGTCTAGGACTCGAAGCTCTTAACCAAAACCCGTACTAATTTGCTTGGTAGCGTTCCGGGGGTCAGAAACCTGACCTCCCGCTAGTTACATGGACAGTATTTATACTATTCTACCCTATCTATATTTCCAATCTTTCCAGGTACTATTACTGCGCCCGCTGACTGAGCCGGGTGGATATGAGCTCACTTCCTGACAGATATGAGCTCATATCCTGGCTCCCAGGTGAACCCGATCATGATCTTGTGCCGCAATCTGGTGTCCTGGCTCATGATACTAAGTTTTACCTGTACCGGGTCAGAGCCCCTGGTGTTACAGTTCTTGTTTCTCATCTACCCAGCGAGCCAACCATCCGCCTGAGAGACTAGGAAAGCTGCCAGGTAAGTAAAGCCATATGCGATCGTTCTTTGTTTTGTTATTCTTACTTTCGGACCGATGCCATCAGGTGGCCATCAGTGCCTGGGATGCCGGTTCGGTTGGAGCCATGTGCTTTCGACCTGCCTGGACCTTCGGTCACTCGGGCTGAGTCATCGGATCACCGGTCTGTTGCCCGAGCCCTTAGGCTTGTCACGGCTGAGTCCTTACTGACGCAGTGGGGTTTAACACTTCTTGCTGTGTACCTTGCAGGTTCTTTCTTACTCGCACAGCTACAAACGTAGTTTGTAGGATAATAAAATTAAGATTTATACGTGTTTTCCAAGGGTAGATGCCAGGCAGGCATATCAAAACGCAGTTGAACGCAAGCACGCAAGGGTCGAATGCAGAATTCTCCTCGCCCGCTTCCGAGGACTGGGATGGTACCTGCAAGTGGATATGAAGCATACCAGGTTGATCCTGACGGTCTTGGATATTGCGCGGACGGACGAGTCGAATGTGGTGGCATCATTGGATAGGTAGGCACTCGTTACTCTGATCAACATGAACGATGGCCGACTTATGTGACTTACAGAGGACTCGTGCTCTTGGATACCAACGGCAATGGAAACCTGCACGAAATCCAACCTCCTCCCAGCGCGTACATGTCAACATCACTGGTTACATAATCATTCTCTGTGGCGACGTCTCCTCGACGCTCACGAGCCTACAACACGGGTCTCCGGCTCGTTGGGGCCCGCCCCAAACCCGGCTTTATACTTGGGATATTAGTTGAGTAAAATCCTTGTTAAATGTATTAAATGTAAAAAATCCATATTATGCATGTAGTAGAGCCTCAGGATATACAATATTTAAAGTGTCTGTACCTCTTTCTGTATCTGGAAAGAGAACTCGAATCCTTTGTCCTTAAGTACAGCGGCTAAGTGCTATGTAAAGCTGTCCATGAGAAAAAACTGGAGTACACAAATCCAACCCAACAAAAGTAACAGACTGGCCTTGGGACTTATTGATTGTCATTGCAAAGGCCAATCTGACTGGAAATTGACGACGTGAAAAAGCAACAGGAAGTTCTGCTGTGTCTGCATTCAGTGTGATATGTGGGATGAAGACAGTCTTGCCTGCATTGGTGCCACTAAGAAGGCGGCATTCCAATACATGAGGCCGGAATCGTGTGAGAATCATTCGTGTCCCATTGCACAGACCATTTGCTGGATCCAGGTTACGAAGAAGCATGAGAGGACATCCCACTTTGAGTGCCAGTTTTGCATGTGGTAATCCAGAGGCATTGAAGTTTTGAAGAAATTCAACTGGATAAAGCATAGCAGCATTATCCAACTCATCCTCTATCATCTTGTCTGTACTCCAATAAACAGTCTCCTGTCCTGGGAACATCTCCAAAACCTTCTGATTGATTTCATCCACATCATCGTTACGTCCAGAGAGAATTGTTCGTTCCAAAAAGAAGCAATCCTGAAAATGGCCAGCTGCAATGTTTGGGTAAATGTAATTGATGAGTCCAGAAAGTGAAGAGTTGGTAAGATGCATAGAAGGAGGAAGTGAGATGACACGATCTTCGGTGAGTCCTTCGCCTGCACCCACAGTAAGCAGCCAACGTGCAAACTCAATGTTTTCAGGAGTCTGATCCAGGCGCATATTTGTTTTCAAGTGAATGACCTGAATGTAAGGCCACAAAGGGGATCGACGAAATGAAGCTGCCACAATCTGCTCCCGTGATCCTCGTGGAACAACTGGCAATGTCTGATGAAAGTCTCCTAAGAGAAAAAATGAGCAAAGACAATCAATAAAAACCTAACCAATAATAATAACATACCACCAAATAAGACAGTGATTCCACCAAAGAGTGCATTGTTATTGCGAATATCACGAAGAGTACGATCCACAGTCTCGATATCATGTCGGTTCTGCATAGGAACCTCATCCCAAATGATGAGTGCAGTCCGACAAAGAAGCTCAGCTAAGTGAGTCCCTCTGCGAATACTGCATGTTGTATCATCACGTGAAGGGATTGGAATTTTGAAGGTGCTATGACTTGTACGTCCTCCAGCTAAGAGAACAGCAGATATACCAGAGGAGGCTCAGGTTAACACAATCTGTCCTTGAGCACGAATAGCGGCAGCAATAGTATTGCAGACAAATGTCTTTCCACCACCTCCAGCACTATGAAGAAATACTGATCTCCCTTGTTGATGAGTAGCAGACTCCACCACAATATCATAAGCCTCACGCTGCTCTGCATTGAAGGTTTGAAGGTTATTATTGACCAATTGCTGCAAAGATAGAATGTCGTATGCCAGCTGTGCTGCCAAAAGAGGGTTGTCCTCATAAGCAGCCCAGTCCATGGTAGAGGCAGGCATCTGAGTCCATTCAGAAAGATGTCGACCATGAGATCGAAGAAGCTTATCAATTAGATGCAGGCCAAAATCATAAAGCTGAGCTTCTGTTGGATTGGGAATATCATGCTGGCGAAGCTTGTATGCCAGATCATCACATATGTTCTCCTTGAACTGTTCCCACAGCTCATCTGGCTTCGCTGGCTGGCAGAAGAGAAGAAGTGTCACAAAAAGTGATCGCAACTGTGCTCCTGACTGCATAATGGCTGCCTCCTCCAAGCACTGTCTCCATTCATTGTCATCCTCCAGCAAACCCATAGCAATGCAAGCCTCTTTGAAGGTGGCATACTCCACATTATTGACTGTACACAGATGTCTAAATGATTGAGCGCCAGCAACAGCTGTCAAAAGTAGCCGAAGGTAAAACCGGTCACCAGAAGAGGGAGCAGCTTGATACATGCGGCCAATAGTGACACCAATCATAGTATATTTTTGGCGTGGATTCCAGTTTTTCTTGTCCCAGGTATAATGAGCAGGAATCTCCTGATATAGATACTGCCGTGCACTTGGATCTCTCTGGTTGAGTTCAAACCATCGTAACAGAGTTGTAGATTTTGCATCAGCAGCAGCTAACACATTTTCAGCACTATCATTCTCATCGTATGTGATCAACTGTTCATTGGGAAGATGAACATGAAGACGAACAACATTTGGCTCCTCCTGATGCAGCCGAAAAGAGAAGATTCGCCAGCATGATTCAATAGCAGAGATGTAGCGGGCGTCCAAAAACTCCTTGATCTCATCCTTATCCCGAACCTCCAATGTAGTCCTGTCATGACCCTTGTAGATGTATTTGTGGATATATTTTATGGCCTTTACAGAGACACAGACCTCCACATTGATATGACAGTTGTAACGTGCACTGAGGTAGGGATTATATGGCACAACATCACGGTTGGTGTAGACAATTTGGGTTTGGCCACGCATTTTGACATACTTGCGACCATTATTAGGACGTGCCAGATTGGGATATCCATCAGTGGTGAACTCTGTCTGCTCATTAAAATCCTTTGGAAAGTTCTTTGAGCAGCGACCATCTTTCATGCAGCGCTCATTACAGGGACCATGCACCATACACTTGGTAACAACTTCATGGAGAATAGGGTGTGTTTCAGGATCAGGAATCTGAGCGCATGAGACTGAATCAGCATCAGCAGGAGAGCGAATCTTGTGATCAGGATCCAGAAAAATCAGAAGATGCATATGAGGAAGTCCACGCTTCTGAAACTCGATTGTATGCACAATAGCTCTGACTTTGCCAAATATTCCACCCTTTTTGATTTCCTGCAGCAGAGCCTCCTTCTTCAACTGAAATACTCTGGCCACAATATCAGGTCGATCCTCCACCTTCTGATCAGGTCCATCTGTACGCTTCAGAGCCTCAACAATTTCTGGCCATTGTGGGTTTGCTGTCATTGTAAGAAAAATATCTGGCTTCTGCAAAGCTCGACAGATTGCCATAGAATCCTGATAAAGCTGATACATTGCACGTGGGCTGCCTGTATGTGATGATGGAAGGACAATATGTTGGCCAGAGTTGCGCAATCCATCCTCATTATTGGCAGCATCCACTAACCCCTTATACAGATCTGCACGGATGGTTTTCTGATTGTTTCGAACCCAGTTGAGATCACTTTGCTCAATTGATGCCCATGCATCCACAATATACTGCTGAAACAAACGGCCTCCTCTGTATAATGGAGCATCTGGCTCAATTGTTGGGCGCTCGTGAAGACGATATGCATAATACCTGTGCTGAGTGACCATTTTACGCTCTGTGCGGGTGCTCCTTGCTGTCTCTTCCAGAGGTATATAGCGATTCCACCCCAGTTCTCCATATGGAAAGAGAAGAACATAGTGAAGAGGTTGGTAGCTTGGATGAAGTTGGCTGATGCGCTTGAGAGACTGATTGTGCATACGTAAGACGATATCCCGTTCATTCTTCACAGGCTCAGATCCATCTCCAGGAATGACAGCTGCTAACTCATCAGCTGTTGGAAGGTTGTATCGCCGACCATCTGTATCATCCCCCACATGCAATCGAACTTCCAGATTTGGATACTCTTCACGGGGTTTGTCCTTCATAATGAGATATGCTTGTCGATACAAAGGAACATAGGGATTTACATCGTGCATTAACCCCTGAAGTGCTGACATGATCTCTGGCTTTAGATTGGGATTCTGGCGATTATGCATTCCTAATGCTTCCATCGGATCATGTATATACAGCTGCGCATAAGACATATCCTCTCCTTCTCTTGGTAGCAGAGATCCCATTTGATGATGAAGCTCTCCTGATACACGAAAGCAGTATGGTCCTGAAGAGTTGGTAATCGCCTGATCAACCTTCACTGCTACTGATGTGAATGCCAAAGCTGCATTGTACTGTCGGATATTTTTTAAAAAGGTATTAGACATCGGGCTGACACCACACAGAAGGTTATGGAGAACGCCAGGAGCAGGAAGAAGGTGAGGCAGTTTGACCTGTCCTTGCAAGCAGCATAGGCCAAAATGGGGTCTGGTTCTTGACTTGGATTTAAGACGCTCATTATACCAATGTGGTGCACCACAGTATTCACAAAGCCACTCCATCTTTCCAATGCTATGTTGAGAATGTGGTTCAACATGTGGACGTCTTGCAGTAGGGAGTAAAGTTGGAATTGTTCTTGGTGGTGGTGGTGGTGGTGGTGAAGGCAATAGTGGTGGTGCAGGTGGTGCAGGTGGTGCAGGCGGAGTTGGTGGTGGAGGTGGTGGTGGAGGGGGTGGTGGAGTTGGTGATGGAGGAGGTGGCGGAGTTGGTACTCGCTGTTGATATTGTTGGTGCCCAGCCAGATTCATCATGTCAATATCTGATAGTGATACTGGCCGTGGATGAGAAACCTGAACTGCACCTCGGCCTTGACCACGAATCTGCCTATGACCTCGACCCCGATTTTGTGGAGGATGCATTGCAGAAGCAGCATTATGTGAGGAAGAATGACCACCGGGATCCCCACCATGGCCAGTACCACGTGGTCTTCCACGATGAACACCTCTGGAGGTAGTGGCAGGAAGCAATGGCACTACAGGCATAGGATGTTCATGTGGTCGGTCCAGCTGAGATGGAATACGTGTTTCAGGTGGAATATGTAAGGGTGGAAGTGCAATATTAGGGTCAGGACCTGGGTGGGCAGATCGTCCATGGCGATGAGAAGGAGAGGTCATCTGCAGACGCTGAAGGTGATCATGCTCCCGCTGAGTCTGACGTGTACGCTCTGGTGTAACTGGAGGAGAATGAAAAGGATCACATGATCTGGAGGGAGTGGATGGGTTCCTATTAGAGCAAAGTAATAAGCATCTTAAGTTCATCAAATGAGAGAAAACAGATACATACATTGTAGGGTATCAAGAAATAGTGATATCAGTCTCGATCGCAGAGTAACAAACCTCTATACAACAGAAATCTATGATAGACTGCTCACAGACCAAGAAAATTTGACACAGAGGAATTCAATGCTACAACAGCAGTTTATGGAGCTACACTTCCAGCAAGTGGAAGGGGGGGCAACTATACCTGTGTGAACACAGATACCCAATCAGTCCCGCCACACCAATCTCCCTGGCTCGTTGTGCTTGACAGAGGCCCCTATTCACAGGCATGCAGGAGGGTAGGCTTGTCACCAATAACTGTGCCCTAAAGAAAGCAGAGAGGCCCAGAATCCAATCTGAGAGCTCTCGTCTTCACTTTGACACAGAAATTGAGGGGATCACCCAGCAGCACCTTGATCTACTCTGTACTAATGATCTGGACTGAAAGCAGCTAAAAATAGACTCCGGAAGCAAAGGGAAGTCACTTCCGTGAGAGAAAACACAAACCCGGAGCAAGAACACCTGAAAAGAAAATCAGCAAAAGGGTGCTTCCATCAAAGATTGATGAGCAGTACTGTGAAAAGGATACCCAAATTGCCTAAAAGAGCATGATCAGATGGGCCAACATCATAAGAAAAGGAACTAATCCTTACCTGGGATAACGCGGTGCAGGGAGTGTGAAACGACGGACCGACACGGGTGGAGGAAGGTGCAGGCACGAAAAAGGGTGGGCGGCAGTGTGCCCATATTCAAACTCAGTCGGAAAGGGCCATGGTATGGGAATGGCCGTTAAATTCAAAGTCCGCTAATTTTACATAAGCAAATTGTGTGGCTGTGGTCCACCTCTCTTAATATATAGATACAACCGAAAAATTAGTGGGCGCGTCCACGTACGCGACGTGTAGAGTTAGGGAAACGTGCCCCAGCTCTTCTAATCACGTGTATTCACATCTTCCACTCACAGTACGACGACTACATCCAAGCCATCTTTGCCGTACTCGTCGTCTGCGCCATGTGCCTTTCCTTGCTCCGTGAACTACAGCCCCTGGTCGTCATCGTTCTATTTACTCGATCTCTATTCACACTCCTAGCCCGCAGTCCTCCTCTCCAGGATATTATCCCGCCAGGACGCACCCCGATGCACTCTCGGCAAGCGCTGTGCCGCAGTATGACGATGTGTTAGCGTTTGTGAAGATGGCATGCTTTCCCACTGCGAACATGGTTGTGAACCACCAGTCGCTGTCATATTCCCTGCTCCGCTCAGCGCACACATCCAAGAACTGGACTGCCCTGAATTGTGACGAAGAACTAAGTAGTATCGCCCTCAGTTTGGATTGTTCAGTTCTAGTCCCAAATATATCCTTCTTGGCGTACTGTATCCAATTCTAAGGTCCAAATCCCTTTCGAAGGACTCAAATGGCTAGTCTTCGGCTTTTTCGTTCTCGCTGCTAACCCGTGTCCATTAAACTAGAGATACTTTCTAGTTTCAGTGTATCTATCCATCACGGAGGATACGGCCTTCCATTTCCTGTCCTCGATGTCAGGCGGGTTCTTTCTGTTTATCGGTATTCATCAGCATTTCCAGTGACAGGAAATCCCTATAAATCGACGGCATGTAGGGGCTACAATGAACCTTTGTGTCGCTGTGGGCTTACTGGTACCCTTCGCCCACCACCAGGGGTTAAGAAATCCCTGTAGTACGCTTCAATTTTTTTCTTGTTCATCAAGTTAATTTGATGCGCCGTTATTTTGGTCTGGCTTAAGCTAATATCTTCCTATCCAATCCAGGATGAAACATTGGTTTGCATGTTCGGTTCGGAACGTGTATTGTTATACCCCGTTCTTGACACTACTTCGCAGGGTTTAAATCTCATTCGAAGGATTCTTTTCTTTTCTTTCTGTCCATCTTCTCTTTCTCGCAGCCAAACAGAGGCCCATAAGTTGGGCGTTCCTTGCACGAAACGACACTTGCCTTGGCGCTCGGATGATGATAGGTGAGATGACCGTGCTTTTCCACTACCAATCCAGTTCCCTTCTGCGTCTTCAACCCTGATGCAGAAATCATTACGAAGCGTATATTCACAATAACAATAACCCTTCGTTCCTGTGTTGGGCTCCGAGTTTACCACATATCAAGGCGTCATATTAATTTTCATCTGCCCTTTTTAATCTCGTAAGTTGTACCTACCTAACTAACGACGCACAGCTCAAGATATAATAGCACCGGCTGTCCATAGTTCGATTCCGTGGATCAGTTATCTGTGTAACTGTGATAAGTGTGATAAGTTTTTTTTTCTTCAAAACACGACACGATACATGTTCCAAGAAGGTAAAAAAAGGCATGAACACTTCTGTAAGACAGTTTCTCTCGTCTTACGTTACAGTTGAAATTCGAGAATCTCGCTGATATCTCCCTCCAAGCCTCAATGAATCAACGGAGGCGACAAGACGCCATGCATGGTTCGATTCCGTGTCGTGGTCATGACCCTATTTGAGTCGATCTTTTGCTTCCCTTTCTCGCAACTCATGGAACTCAACCACCCTCCTCAGGGCCTTGTGCTAAGGGGAGAATGCAAGGAGTCGAATTTTTTCCGAGCTGGCTTTTGTTTTTCCTACAGAAAGAGAGAAGCACCAGATGTCGGCACCGTACACAGATGAACGAATTGATCTCCGCGTATTCCATGGGGTATTCTCCTACGTAGCACTGGGTATGTAACATCCTGTTCCAGGACGATTCGTACTAGCTGTTTAATTCAGTAAATAGTACGGGAAAGCTATTAGAGGTAGAGGCGAGAGGCGACCAACAAACTGACCGTAAACTTCTTGAGGAACAATCTCTTTTCCTCGAATGGTGTAGTAAAGGGAAACACTTAAAATATCGGTCTTAACGACCACATTTATCGTAGCGCAAATAGTTCGTTCTTTCTGTGGTCAGGAAGGAATCGGAGCCGCAAGAGCCATCAATACCGTAAATGCTAAGCCAGCGTCTATGCTCCTTCGCATGTCTCTGTCAAGGGACAGTTTGGTTTTCGGATGTCAGACAAAACCTTTCAGGCTTTCAAAATTCAGTCGATGGTACAGGTACCTAATTATGAGGAATAAAACAAAATCATTGCGCTCGATTATTCCTCCCTTGGGATTCGAACCCAAGTCGTACTTGGTAGACCTAACTACTACGTCATGAAGGAATACTTGTACGCGACTGAACAGCTAAATGTCACCTGTCCTTGTTTCGGTACCCATTAACCATAATAAAAAGTTCACGATCTGCCAACCAGCTAGAGGGGTCTCCTTGTGAGGATTTGAATATCAAGGAAAATATATTTCGATTTTTGAGACTGCAATTATCCAGTTGTAGTCTTTTGTGGCATACTGGGTACACTACTTATGTCCATTATCAGGGTTCGAATCCCTTTCAAATGATTATGAAGCTGAGCTGATCCTTTTTTTCGTTGCACAGACGCTCCAGTTCTTCATGTAGTTCTAAAACCTAATCATATCTGCCACCATCTGTAGGAGCTATAGCCGGAAGGTATCCATCGACACGTCTCACCGTAGCTCCCTAGTACTATGTGCACTATCTAGCTATATCGATCTCAGCTTTCATCGAAACCGGTGTATAACAAAGTTTGGAGAGGGGGCCCGCCCCTCAAAAATTGGAATCGCTGAACATTTAAAATTGTCATAGAACAGACCCTTCACTCAAACGAAAGTGTCGAAGCAGGTGTCCTTTTGATGCAAGTAATACAGGAAATAAAAAGCTACCGATCTTTGGTCATATTCTTCAAATGGGATTTGAACCCTTGGTAGACGTTAACTTCAATACGGTGCATCATGAAGGCCTCCCAGGGGGCTTGATGACTCTATCCTCACTAGGACCGGCTGAAAGCGTCTAAATTCTAATGCAATCCCTAGGTTTACAAAAGTCTGACTTCGGTGAGCGAACTCTAGGAAAAGATGCCGGAGAATATTCATCTCTCCTCGTAGGGGTGCAGGTATGGGCCTTACGGCCGAACAACGTTTAGAAAGGCTGCCGAGTTCATCCAACAACATCCGTCACAGTATGGAGCACCTTCTACAGTTCCTTCCGAGTCGTAGATTTGAATTCGAGGCAAAGAAAGTGATTCAGCTCGCTGTAGTCTTAAGGAACAGAAAAGGGGATTTTGATTCGTATTTGGTGGAGTGGTCCGTTCTCGTTTATAAGGCTGAGTTCAAGAAGTTGACGCAATGGCGATAGATCTCAAGACATTCTCTGAAAATTGAGAGCAACGACGCGAGGACTACAAGAAGAAAGAAGGTATTTTAGGTGCGTATGCTGATTCAATTAGACTACTCTGCAATGGAAAAATAATACGCGTATACTCGAATTTCTTAGACTTGTCGTTCCTGATATGATTCCGTTGCCTAGGATCTTTGTTCGAGATAAGTATTCCCGCCAAATGCTTGAGTCTGAAACGGCAATAAGACGTGCCAAGCTTCGAAGGCGAACGATACTTACAGCAGGAAGGAAAAGGAATTGTTCAAATTTTGTGCTGTCCAAGCTCTTTAATGAGTATTAGTTAACGAGCACGAATCTCAATCTCACCTGGTCGTGGAAGCTCAAGCCTCAGGACAACCGCCCTGCCCATTGAGAGTCCTTTGCAGTCGCGGTTTTACGAAGACTAAATGAGGTGTTCTTGTTATCCATCACACGGCACTACTGCTGCAATGGTTAACTTTCATGTAGGGTTCAATTCCCCTCTGGTGCATGCACATATCACAGCTTACTCCATGCTTTTTCCTCGATTTTTGGGTCAGGATAATGGCGCATCATCGCGTTAGAGAAATATATATAGCATCTCAGTCTACGGGCCTACAGACTGAGGTATAGCGGGAACACGACAGTGGACAATCAAAGTTCTATTTTTGCGAGACGATTTGCAGCTCTGGGATAAGTCGAAAACAGGGAGCACGTTCTATCATCAATCTGCTGCAGAGCACCTCTCATACCATGAAGGAAGGGCAAGTCGTTCACAGTCGATGTTGCGACCTTCCGAAGGCTATCTCAGCGCCGACTACTCGGGAATGCCATGGGAACAGCTTAGTCACCGGTTTATTCGGCCCGTAACTATATAGTTACCTTGGACTGCAACGTCCATGAACGACGCACTCTACAACTTACCGAACGATGTGCTGATTTACATTATCGCATTTCTCTCCGTTCCTGACATCCTTCTCCTCCGCCAAGTGAGTCTTTCCTAGCCCAGAGATTCTAGGTGCTAATAGTGACAGACATGTAAACGGTTCAATACGCTCACAAGATTACACATCGTCTGGACAAACGCATTCAAACTCGATATCCTCTCCAATGGCTACCCCGCTCCCATCGATGATACAGACCTTGAGCAACGCACGCTTCACTCGTACCGACTCACGTCTCGATGGCTTGCAAACTCTCCTCTGATGCCAGCGAGCGAGACGAGTTTCACCGGGTCCCCCGTATCCGAAATCAAATTCATACCAGGCCGACAACACAAGTGGCTGCTGACTGTATCGAAAGGGACCCGGTCGGTGCTAGCGATCTGGGATATCGTGCGCAGGCACAAGTGCTCGGAGTGGTCGCCGAGAGGCGTGCCGTTTACTGGGGTGAGGCTGAACACAGATACAGAGTCTGAGGCGAGTATCGCTGTGGCGTTGGATGGGTGAGTCCTTGTTATTCTGACGACGCATCACTAACTTGTGTAGGTCACAGAGGATTGCGCTCTTGCACCTGGATGACGATGGAACGCTGCGTGAAATTCACTCTTTCGATATCGACCTTCACCTTGTCACCCTCACTGGTGATATCATGGCCCTCAGCGATGACTTGTCCAAGACATTGATTTATAATTGGAGGACGGATGAGCGAGCCTACCTCGATGAAGGAGACATGCAGGTAACTATTCGCTAACTGTTCTACCTATCGCTTATTCATCTCATCCACTTACAGCATGGCCACTGCATCCAAGTCATCTTCACCGCGCTAACCATTCTTGTCATCCGTGCACGCTCCATCAACCTGTACACTACCCTGCCCTTCCTCCACGGACAAACACACTCTCCCGTTGCGTCCCACTCCTTCAGATGCGTCGACGGTGCCAGTGCAACACCCACATCGGTCCTCATCCGCTCCGAGATTGATAACTCCTGGATATCAGGGCTTGACTTGTTCAAACTCTATTCCATCTCTTCCTTCCCACCAACCTTCACCAGCGAAATAACCTCCCAATGCGGCTCTCTTCAATGCACAGACGTCATACTCGGGAAATGTGAGACTGCTGTATGGATACGCCCCTATCGTGTGATGACCTTCCCGGATCAAGAACACCGCGAGACGCTCATGGCTGCCGTATTCCCCGGCCCGCTTAATCCCACTGCTAAACCTCGTGTCCGCGAGGTGTGCCCGAACCCGTTGAATAATTGGACCGCGTTGGATTATGATGAAGAACTCGGGAGGATCGCCCTTGGGTCGGGGTTTGGGAAGATTACGGTTGTCCAGTTGTAGGCATAATCCATGTCTTTCGTGACGTACTGGGTGTGTGACGTCCAAAACTAGGGTTCGAATCCCTTTGGAAGGGTTAAATTTTGTTGTAATCTTTTTCTTCTTTGCGCATGAGCCTGAGCTTGATTCCGCGTACGCATCATGCCTCGTGCAAGTGACCGTATTTTCATTACTAGGCTATCTGAGGACCCATGATTATCCTCTCAGAGGTTTCATCAGAAATTTTGCCATTTTGAAAAATTTGTCCGGACTCCGGTGGTAACCTCGCCCTGTCTCCAAATTTGTCCGGACTTTTGATGTAAGTTCACGAAAAAATCGCAAAAAAATCGTAAAAATCGTAATAAAATAAAATAAAATCGCAGAATATTAATATAAATTGTCTGTCTCTACAAAATACTTCTATTCATCTTCGTCCTCATTCTCCTCTATCTCTATGATGTTACCAGTGATTTCGTCTTGTACTGGCAATGTCGGTGCGAGCGCGATGAACTCCAAAATGGAGAGCTCTTTCGATGGTAGGAGCGACTGAAATAGCGAGGGAATAGCCAAGATGCTTTGACCGATCTTGGCGACGTTTTCAGGAACATTTCGATACTCTCGTCCGCATCCGATCCATTCAGACTCGTCCCATGCCAGATCTGAGGCTTCAAACTCGTCATCGTCGAACACGTATAAGTAGTCATGAGGCATCGGCCGTTGTTGGATTGGAGCCTGCTGGAGATGGTAAGGGGTAGGCTGGTAGATGTTTGTAGATGAGAAGCCTTGTGTTGTAGGAGGTTATAGACCGACAAAGTCAAAGTAGCAGATAGATTTCAGGTAAATTATCATAATAATAAGACTTGTCCAATTTCGTGCAGCGTCTCCTAGTAAGGCAATGTCCTGTAGCCATTATACATTGTTTTCAATTTGTCGCGTGGTAGAACAAAATACTAAGTGACGCAAATAATGTACTTTGTTACTGAGGACCTCTCCCGAGTCCCGCGGAGCACGTTTTGTCCGGATTTTGATCTAACCTTCGATGACCGCCACACATTGTCCGGATTTTCGATCTAAGCTGCTGGTGCCGAAGGGTCGATTTGTCCGGATTTTGAGGTAAGCTCGAGCCCTGGATTTCGAGAATTTGTCCGGACTTCCGATGAAACCTTTTGCGGGATAATCATGGGTCCTGCTATCTGCCTTTCAACTTTGCGTCACGTGCGTGTTCTTTAAAGGCGGCTTGTTCAGACAATCCTTCGTGATGTTGTGGTCTTATCATGCTAGTTATCTGAGTTCGAGTCCCGGTCGAAGGATGGTCCCTAGAAATCTCTTTTTCACACCATTTTGTTCGACCTACTTAACGTATAAGAGAAGCTCTAAGCAAGAAATGGGATACTTCATCGTGACGTTGCGGTACTGTGCACGATTTACCCTGCGTTGCTTACCTGGGTTCGAGTCCCAGTCGGAGGATGAAGTTGCCTATCCAGGACCCTTTTTGGTATCATTTCGCTCGAGCTCTTATCGAACCCTCTTATCCACATTCTCGACTCTCCAGGCTCGGTTAGGGTACCACAGACATAGTCATGGCTCCTAGCAATCGGTCATGTCCTCTTGCTCGGGGTATCAGTCAGGTTCCTGCTTCGGTTTTAGTCGTACTTTCATTACAAGAACCATCTGCCTCCCTTTCGATTTACGTCTCCGTTGAAGGCACCATGAGCATCACTATAAAAGACAACCAAATAATCCTTCGTGACGTTGTGGGTCTTATCCTGTACTGCTTACCGGGGTTCGAGTCCCGGTCGAGGAATTAGCAATCCTTCAGCAATACTGTTTTTTTTTTTGCATCTTGTTCGAGGTCTTATCCGAATCGTGCCTCCGTAGTTGGCATCCGAAATGGTACAGCAAACGAAATCATGGCTTTTAGTAGTCGGTCCTGTCCTCTTGCCAGGTTCTCGTTTCGGTTTGTTAACCCCCCCTAACACAATATCTATTAGGTTGTCTCGACGGTCATTTATATCATCATAAGGTCTTAGTATTGAAGGTGCTTGGAAGTAAGTTTCACTGTATGTCTTTCCCGTTTCTTGTAATAATCTACGAAATGATGAGAGGAACAGTATACCGAATTTACTGCATATGCGGCGATTTTGTCTGGAGCACCACCTCCTATTTCGCAGAAAAGTCTTGTGGTCAAACTTCGTCAAACATGGAAGCTTCACGAACTCCACCTCCTGGCTACGCCGGCTCTTTAGTGCCGACTAGTAAGTATCAATGAATTTGACCCCTTATCTCCCGGGGACCCCTTGAGGTCGTATTTTCCAACCGGAATTCATATCAAAGACGATCACGAGGGACTTGAAGTTCGCGAACCTGGTGGAAAGGAGCCTCTTTATTACCAGAGAGCACATCGCCTTCAGCCAGACGAACAGAGACTCTTCTGTGACATCATCATAACAGGCGAGGTACAGTCAATGAACTCTATTATTTGCTATATATTGATATCGCTCCCCATGGATATTCAGCATGGGGAGAATTCAATCTTGTCGGCAGCGTTCGCCCATGTGACGGCTTCATCAGTCTCTCTAAGGACTATATATGTTGTCAAGGTCTTGTCAAATTCGCTAACATCTATCTATACCTTATCTAGGTTGATGGTGATCGAGGAAAGTGGCTCTATCAGGGGTACCTTATCGGAAATGCTTATTAGAGTTGCTGTGGCTGTACGAGCCGTCGGAATCAACCGGCTCCGAACCCGTTACTTACCGTACCCGTAGTCTTCTTTTCTTTACCGTTTGCCACCATGTCGGCATACTAGGTATAAACGAGTTGCTCATTTTCGTTCCCTCCCGTGCTCGAATCTCAACAATGCTGACGGTAATTTGGCGGGAAGGTGGCTTGACACTTTGAGCCCTGTCGCTGTGCCCGGCTACGAGGGTTGCGTCACGGCGTCGATGAGTCATTTTGTTATGGGCGGTATGCTATTACCCCACAAATACAGTGGTATTTTGTCCATATTGGTCATCGGGTTATACGGTGGCAGGTGGCAGAATTTTCTTCGGACCTACAGACCAGCCTCGTTTTTCTCATCGCAATGAAATAAACAGTGGGTGTTTAATCCTTAACAGCGCCATTTTTCTGTGGATGAAGGAAGCTGTCAATGGTGTGTAGCACTTCGACGTGAGAGGATCAGCGCTGATGTGCGAACAGGGCGCTCTCGTTCCTAATTTGGTAAAAAGCCATGTTATCCCCGTACATACGGCGGATACGGGTACCGTATATACGGTGCCGTACCCGTACCGTCAGGCCTTCGAGGAACCTTTTTACGGTACGGTTTGCGGTACGGCATCAGCACGTACAACCCATAGCGTAATACGGTTTTACGGCCGTAAATACGGGTATGTGCACAAAAGCTCAGGAACCCACAATGCGGCTCAATTTTTGACCAAGAATTTGTCTGTGTGCTCATAAAGAAGTAGCCTGGACATCATTTTCTCTTAGTGCGTGCTATTGAAGACTTTTTTGGCTAACAGAGCCTGGTTCTGTTTGCAGGATGACATCCGTCCTCCTTGAAAACTCTTCGGCAACGCTAATTAGGCTGTATCAGTTATCGGAAGAATCATGAAAGTATGTTCTTATTCTTGATAAAAGTCAAAAGTCATAGCTTATATATATTGATTCTAGCAGTCATTCCTTGCTGAAATACCCGTAACAACCGTATGACCGTAATACGGCCGTACCGCACCGTCAAGCATCCCAGGCAACACCATTACGGTACGGTTACAGGTCATCCGTACCTGTCAAGTGCCCGTACACTTTACGGCCGTACCCGTATACGGGTACGGTGGACATCCCTAGTTACCATTGCATGTAATGGTAACATTCAATTTTGATGAACAGCGGCGGAGTCAGTAGAACAGCCAGTAGCGAAAGCTGAGCAAACTCTGACTGCCAATAGGCTAAAGGACCTATCTTTTTGTCACTCCCGCTCTGTCGAAGCCTAAAATCACCGCTCTCGCCAGTCCGTTTTCAATGTGGCAACTTGATCTCATGCGCGACCAGCGACACTCGGACCTCGCTTATACCTTAGTGAACTTTGACGAAGAGATAGGTTTTGATTTCTAGTCGAATTGCAGACATGTAATGTTGTCATTAAGAACTGAATACGGAAGGAACCGAAATGATCGAGCGATCGTGTCTAAAAATAGTGCGGGTTGTGTAGATCGCTCGAGTTGTAGCTCATTATAAAATGAACGTTCACAGTGCTTTGGGGCCCGAGACTACCGACATCATCTTTGAGCAGCGCGTGGAAAGAATTATTATTATTATAAGTCTCTTTCAACAAAATTAGTATACTAAAAAGGGTCTAGAATCTACTGGCAAACGGTATTCTACATCTTCTACATAATAGCTTAGTTGACATACGATGTTAGATTAAGCAGCAAGGATTAGGTTTACACTAGCGGCTAAGAGCCAAGGCAAGTGATGCGTCATTTACAGACCATTAAGGGGTAGCAGTGAGGTGTGCGATTCTATAGTATCGGAATTTAGATTCAAGATATCTTCAGGGTAGTTGGCTGGCGAAAATGCCTAAGGGATGTAGAGGGTGACGTTCAGTGTGGCGAGTCTGTCATTTTACTCATAAATGAGAGGCGATCTGCAATGATAAAATTCACTTGCCATTACAGAATAGTTGTCGGCATTTCCAGGAGGGCGGGCAGTCATTAACCATGAAGAGATATGTGAAAGAAGCAGTGACAGCAAAGAGATCCAGAAGAACTTGAAGAGAGACAGGAGAACCAAAGACATAGAGTGTCAGAGATGTAAAAAGCCAGGTGAGATCATGAAACAGGAAGAAAGAGAAGATTGCTCTGAAGTAGAACAGTAAGGAGCTGTGAGGATCGGCAGAATGGATGCCTTACCGAGTTCCAGAATCATTATCTTCCAGCGCAACTGTTACACAGAAATTTTGCACCCTTAACGATGGATGCTTGTCCTCCATTATCGACACAATTTGCGGGACAGCGAGACAGCATACTCCATGTGCAGGTGCACTTCGGACACTGATAAACATAGGTAGTGCACATAGAGGAATACCGTTCGATGGTACGGAGGTGAAGCATCGCTACTACCTAAAAATCTACTTTTAACGAGGACTAAGATCATTGGACTCACAGATATAAAGCGCCCTGTTCTACCTTGCTTGACGCCAAAAAAAACAGAAAAGGAGAAAATGCAATAGCTAGACAGCATTGGAAATGGTGAGCCATTGTGGGGGTGAAGGTAAAAATGAGGTCTGAGAACACGATGCTAGTCCGCAAATCATGAAGCTGGAAGAACGCATACACCCAACATACACTACGACCTGGAAAGGCAATAAACCGTTGATGTAAAGCTCAAACAAGGACCCACATGGACATTCAAGGGGTGGTTCATCTCAGCCCGGCGTTGTCCATCAAGCAGGATGCTGTATATATTCAGGAACATCGATAGATTTGTTCTCCTGGATGTGAGACAGTAACAACATCTTCGAAGTGTTGTCCCTGGCCATCCCACCGACTCTGAGAACGTGGAACCACGATCAAAGTTCCTCCCCATGCGATAGCACACGTTTGTAAGTGTACAGATCCAGCATTTATCTTTGCCTGATGTTGTGTAGCGTTTCTGGCAGGGGATGGCGACAATGATAGTGAACATGTCATTGTTCGAGATGGGCATGTTCTGCGCGTATTCGCTCCAAAACGGCACATTGTGGGGCAACATAAGTCAGAGCATGAGCTTGAAGTCGGCCACTTCGTTGGCTTAATCGTAAGTCAATGATCAAAGATGTTGCTTTGTATTCTGACGATATCACAGGAAACTCTTATCAGCACCATTGATTTCGAGCAAAGCTCAACGGTTTTCTTGGTCCTTCGAAGGAATGGACATTGTCTGGTACCGACACCGTTATGACCCACAACCTTTTAAAGTTACTCATCCGACCTGGGAGCGCCTTATCGATGAGCGTGAAATTGAAATTACCGAGTGGATATATGACATGAATCGGAGAGGAAGGTGGAACAACACGGACGTCGGTCAGTTGGACATTATTTTGTGACTACAACTGCTGAAGACTCTTTGTAGAAATCTGGTATGGGCACGAAGATCGCTATCTGAGGTTCGTGCAGAGGACCATAGTCTCCCTTGACGCTTTGCGGCAGCGTAACTTGGACCTACATTTCAAGGTACTAGGCCAGCTAGTTCGTGATGACGAAGTTGTTGGAATTGTCATGGAACCAAAGGGTGGCCGTTATGTTGAGTTTCGTGACCGTGCATTGGTATGTATGCGCTTGTCAGCATTGCAATGCATATTGATAAAAGGTTTATTCAAGGCGTACAACGTATTTCAAGAGCTACAGAAGGACAATTTACTCATAGGCTTCCCTCAGTTCAGCTTCTCCAATATGAAAATTTCTGACGGCAAAGTGCACTTTGAGACCAGGACTCTTCAGCTCCTGAGAGACCTCTCTTACGAACGCGATCCAGAGCGATCGGCGCACACCAGAAAAAATCACTGGGATTCTCTAGACTCGATGATGGATATACTCGAGTCTTTAATGCGAGTATGCAATCAAAATCCTTAGACAATTACGAACGTCATCCAAGAAAGGGTTGACCATCGTTTATTGGCGTACATCCCCTTTCCCGAGCGACCACTCCTCCTTGATATTCATTTCAGCATTAATCATCACTCAGGCATCATTTAGAACCGGCATTGTCGAGCAACCACCCGAAAGACGCGGTTACCGCTCCCGAGTAAATACGAGGAGCATTGGGATACTGAGCGTGGCAGAGATAAAGACATGGCCAGTGTATCTATCAACGCGGTGACACTTGCCCGTACTTCCCGGCACCAACAAGAACACCAGTACAAGCCTTATCGGCTTTCGAATACACGTTGTTTGTTGGGGTGGTCTGATTCCAGCGATGCTACAACAATATCTGAGGATGACCCCCACATGGAGGATCCAACGTCCTTGCCCACTTCATGACTTCAAGATCTTACACCTACTTCTTCGTATGTTCTTTCTTGGCATAGATGAGTTTGTATCATACTACTTCCTCTTTTGTAGCCTATATTGTATATCGTCGATCATCCTCGTTGTCCTGTGCTTATGATTTCAAACTTGACATTGCTACGCACACACGTTGCTCTATTCTGCAGGTCTAGTAGTCTTCGACTATGCTCAAAATACTATTAGGTTCTGTGACATCAGATATCTCGGGGGATGGGCACGCCGCCCGTTGAAACTTCTTTGGTCACCGGAATACCGCATCTCGAAGCAGTCTGGTCTCTTTCTCCGCTCGGTTGCTAAAATGATCATGACCTGTGACAACCACGTGGAGGCGAGGAACGATGGTATCTGCGGGCGGAACCCCATCTTAAATCGGAGTTTCTGTTCATCATTAAAAGTGCTGTACGCACGAAAGAAAACGCGAAAATGGACCGTGGGCGAAACACCCACGGGTGCGTATTTTTGCCGAATTTAGACAACTGTGGGACCTTGTTCTCACGTTCGATCATCCGCCCCTCGGAGATTGGACCTTGAATTGACCGCCTCGTCATGTAACAGTATAGACTATCAGTGAGGGCATGAACAACATGCATACTTTGTCGATTTATGTTGTATGTAGCGATATCCATGATCGTTAGGGGTGCAAATATACAGCATAGCCCTTACCTAGATAGGTGCGTTCATTGCTCAACAACTCTGGACGCCACCTGGCTCCTTACGGCTGTAAATTAATAGAAGAGTCTAAATGATAATTGCACTGGGAGGCGAATATGATGTATCTTAAGAGCGTCTTTCCAGACCAAAACAAGCTTATTTGGATTTCCATCCGGCTTGCTATGCTTACTCTATACCCTGTCAACACATGTCGGAGCTTGTTCTAACAGCTTACTCGACTCGTTTTGTCACATAAATGTAGGTAGGATCTGTGACTCGTCTTTCATTACTAACCGTTTCCCAAGGGATCTTGAACAGCTTACAGCTAGACAAATCGCCTGCTGGCTTACATCTGTTTCTCGGAAGGACCGCCTCCCCACCTCCATGCTTGCTTTAGTATCCACCATGGCAGCAACATGTCCTGGATCCAGTGTTGTAGGGTCACCACACCCAACGGGCGGTGATTCCAGCAGCGATGATGTGTCTGGCTCCTGAGAATCTGGACTCGAAGTGGCAGACTTGGCCAAACGAACGCCGAGTGCATAGTACCTACGTGTGAATTGCCTTTATACATTCAGGATTGCCACTCTTTATTCATGCCAATGACCAGTCCCAACATCTATTTTTCGTCGGCTGGGTTCGTCTCTTCATCATTCAAGTATTTTGTGCTTGGACTCCACTTGTCGCGTAGCTTCGTGCAGGGTATTCTTTTTGGCTTATGCGCCTTTTTTTCCTCCTTGAACCTTATTGATGCTTCTCTGAACGTGGCCCATATCTGGCATCGTTAGGCATCGGTGGTTATTAGTCAGAATACCCATGAACATTAAAGTCGGTACTGACCTTCTCAGGTTTGAAGGGCATATCCCGAGTCCCAATTCTCCTGGCGCTACTTGTAGAATATGACCACACTGTATAATTCTCTCATATCGATATCCGTGTTTCGATGCTGAGATCTAGATCCACACGGCTGCTGAATCTAACGATCTGGTTGCTATGAATTTTGGCGGATCAATTTTTGTCGGATCAGGCGCGCGCTTGTTACAGTGTACCTGGTACGCGAGTGGGAGTCTGAATTTCTGCGAGTCCCAGCGGCCGAGCTCGGTCATAATGTTAGCTGCTTCCGACTCGTCGGAAATAGTAGTTTAGGTTGTAAGACACATCAAACAGGCGATTTCCTAACACCTGGAGGTCATCGAAGCGGGACACTGTTTCAGTGGGGTCAACCCTTCAAGATCCGAGCTTGGCTGAGACTAATCCAATTTACACAAAGGAGTACCTTCTCTTGAATCCGACGTCGCTTTGATATCTTGGCGACTCTACATTTTATTTTTTTTTGCTCTCGGTTTCTCCTTCCTGGCCTGAGCAAGTTCATTTCGGGTAAGGCTGACACCACAAGAACAGAAGTGGCGCAGTACTTGTTCATCTTCGCGCAACATCTACGGGCCACACGTCATAGGTGGTGGAATAATATCAACGTGTATTGGATAGCAACCTGATGTGATAGCAAATTAATCCGACGACAATTCATGTATATGTCCAATTTTGCGAGAGTCACGAGATGCGACTCGCAGACTCGGAGTAGGAAGGACTCGGTCGCAGCGAAATAATTAATATATATGGAGATGCATATACTCGCCGGTTCTTGGATAGTTCTTCTTCTCCATGTGAAAGTCCTCGAAAGGAGAACAAGAGTCCATCAAGAATGAGAAAGTCGATAATTCTGAAACACTGCCAAATTCCAATCCCTGCTTTCCCTTCAGACTCGTCGGTTCGGGCCAATCTCATGGGAAGGAGCGTGGTTGGCGGTAAGGGTACATGTCCGTTCCCTGAAGCGCGATAGTATCTCTTCCGGTCGCTCAAAACAATCCTCAGATGTTCTCGGAAGTCAATTTTGATGATGAATACCCGTGGACCTACACAGACTGGAGATAAAAACATACGGTTTCCAATGAGGAGAGAGTGGCGATGAACGAAAGGGAGACCGAGGAGATGGACGGCACCCCAACGTGGTGGCCGGCAGAAGGTAAGAGTCTTCGTGTATGGTATGTTTAGCTTGGTAAAGGGGCTTGATTTGGGTGGTACAATCAGCCATGTGTAAGGTAGATGAATCTAACGAGTAACGATGGCCTGAACAATGTTGATGAACAGCCTTAAAACCCCCTGGCCGTAAAAAATCCAGATCGGAAGAATGCATGGGATCCTGCATTTATGGTGAGAATCGGAATGTCGGGTAGATCAGTCATCCATTGAAGACTTTGCAGGAGCAATTCCTTGAAAGATTGCACGACAAGAGAGGGTGGAAGAATTGGAAATTGACATCTGTACCTCACGTGGGCATTTGATTGGTGTTATTTCGTAATTCCGGTCTTTGCTTGCTTCCCTCACTGAGCGGAGACGCGCGATCCCCTTCTTCTTCAGATTGTAGCTCCAAGTTGGCGAGAAGGACATCTGATCAAGATAAAAGCAATCCAGTGATGTGAGCTATATTGGTACGCTTCTGGCAACATGATAACTGATTTTATTTCTAGATTACTTAACGCTCCCCAGCATTTATTCAAGACCAGCATAAAACACGGAACATCCTTCCCCAAGACGATAAACATCAACCGGATCTTGTCACAGAGTTATATATCGACGTTCCTTTTCGCGTTCCTTGGTCCTCGCAGGTGTATATCCTCGTGATGAAGAATCATCACGTTGTAGGTGGTATAGGAAGGGACGAAGGGACAGGGTCAATAGTGATGAGGTTAATGCGCTGTTTGATTGGGTGGGCTTGATGGATGACGTGATGATGGCGAAGAAAAATGACTACGCCAGGTAAGACTCCCCCCGCTTCCCGGCATGCGTCACTGACAGTGAGAACCCAGACGCGCAAATGTTTCCACATGCTCACAGGACTCTACATCGTATGGACGAACGCTTCCAAACTCGACATCCTCTCCAACGACTAACCGTATTCCTGCGATGAAGCCGATCTCGAGCACCACATGTGCCACGCCTACCGATCCGCCCCCCGCTGGCTCTCCTCTCCCTGAGACTACCTTCACCATAACCTCCATATTCCAATGCTACCGTCTTCTAGCTGTTTCTAAGAGAAATCTGGTCTGTCCTCATGGTCTGCGTTATCGGACGCAGATACCAATCCTCAGAGTGGTTCCGGAGAAGCGCGTTGTTCACTCAACACGGAACCTAAATATCTTGGATGGATGTCAACGATGGCTAACTTATGTATCCTATACTCCTGCATCTGGACGACAACGGGAACCCTGGATGAAATCCACTCCATCGACTTTGACCTGCGCCCAGTCAACCTCACAGCCGACGACTTAGCTCCCAGCGACAACCCCTCCAAAATGTTGTCCTACATCTGGAAGGCCTGTGAAAATGGCTTCCTCGATGAAGGAGATGATACGCAGGTACCTATCCTCCACTGAGTCCGCTGAGTACGTCATTGGTATATGATCCCTGCTTACTGAATGCGAACAGCTCACAAGGCTACATGAACGCATCCACGCTTTGGTGTTCGTTCTGCTGACTACCCAGTATACGGTCTCCAACTACTCTAGATTCTCCGACTCGCTTGCTGTCGAGGACAGGGACGGCGTCCACAACTGGATGCTATGCGTACGAGGTCGACCCTGACGGTCTGGGATATTGCGCGGACTAGTCGAGTGTGGCGGTATCGTTGCATGGGTAAGCACTCTTTGCTCTGATGAACAACGGATAACTTATTTAGGTTTCAGGTAACTCGGGGATTGTATTTCGACGACTTGTGAACTATGCACAAAATCCACTATAACAACTACAGTATCTGCCCTCGCCGTCGACATCCTTGGGAGACCGGCACGCGCGAGGCTTAAGCGACGTGCAGGTAAGCATACTCTAGCTCTTCTAATCACGCTTAATCATATCTTGTGCCCACAGTACGACCGCTACATCCAAGCCATCTTCACCGCACACACCATCCTAGCCCTCTGAATGCGCCTCCATCAACCTCTACGCTGCGCTCTCCCCGACCAGTCGTCTTTGCCCCGACCTCCACGTCTACGATACCCCACCACTTCGATGGCGTCAGTGCTCCTTCATCCGCACCCAACGGCGCTCTCTCCATCCTCATCTAGTCCGAGAATGACAACACTGGAGCCTCTCGTGCGAGCTCTAAATTATCCCGTCGTGCATTATGAATGAACATGCCTGCCTATACACCCTCCTCCAGCGAGACAGTATCCCGTCGTCCTGCGCTCTAATACAATGATATTGTTCTCGGCAGGTAGAGAACGGCAGTATGCATCCATTCACACATTCGTGCCATGGGAGGAGCATGACAGCGGCAAAGCACCAATCGCAGTCCTATTCCCGGGTCAACTCATGGCGGCGTGAAGAACTTGGAAGGGTCTGGGTTTTATATACCCTTCGTGGTGTATTGGCTACGTCGCTTCCACTACCATATATCAGGGGTTCGAATCCCTTCCGAAGGAGTCTTGTATCTTGCGGATTTTTTTCTTCTTCCTGCGCAGAAATAAAAGTCGAGCGTTACCATGTTGGAGGTGATCTCGCTTCTGTTATACTCGTCCTGTTTCTGGCCTTTTGGCTTCTTCAAGGAGTTCCTACGTACGCTATTCAGGTTCCCATTCACTCTTTCATCCCAGGTACATGTAGCTCAATATGTACTCCAGCTTTCCGTGGTTCAATTCCACAGAGGGCTATCCCCAGATATTCGCATCCTTTTTTTTAGGAGGGTGAACAGTCTGATTCCGAGATAGAGAAAGACGAGCAAGCATTTCCGCTCAATTCTGGTGGGTAGGTGAGATTCGGGAATGGTATCCATGCCGGGATCAGTAGTAGTAGATCGTCGCCAGAATTAGGGCCGCAGGATTAACTACTGCGCTCAAGCTTCCGACATGCAACGTTCATACGACTGTCGGTTATCGCTCAGGGAAAAGTTTGATTTTGATATTGTATACTGTGTCGACAAAGTCTCATTCAGCGGTACAGGTCCCTCGGCATCCTACGATACTTACCTGGGAAGAAGAGTGATTTGTAAACTTGATCATGATGTGAGTAATAAAACGGAAGCTACTGTCATTACATATCTCTGCTGGGATTTGAACCCAAGGCATAACTTGTATCCACTACGCCACGAAGGCGTCCTGCAGCTAAATCTTACCAGACTCTGACTTGCCTACCAAAAGTCGGACAGGTATTAATTGCGGACAGCAGGGAAGAAGAAAAAACACGCATAACATCGAAATTCTCATCCTTCAAGTTGAACGTAATGTACCAAGTAGACATACCCACCATCAGGATCCAAAGATCAGACACTAATAATATTATACTAGTAGACGATGTGTATTGTAATAAGTACTCTAATCACAGCAGAGTATAATTGATTATCCTGCCTATGATCAATTATATACTGCAGCCTGAGCATTGGGCCCCTCCTTGTGTGCTGCAGGCGGCTCAGAAGATGTCTATCATAACGGAATCGTAGTTTTGAAATTGGGTGCATGTACCTTGTGTCTCAATAGTACCCACAATGTGCCACATATAATGGCCATTTATGTGGTTACATTCTGCACCCATGTTGAACATCATCTAGACCCAGGAACATGTCATTGCCTTCGGAATCCCATCACGTATACTGAGCGACATGTCAGGGACTCGGAGACATGTTATCTTCAAGCTATACATTCGTGGGCCAGAAAGATCTATGCCAAGCTATAAACTCATCAACCACGGACTGTATCTATCATCGCCATGGCTGCTGGCACTGCTATCGCAGTTATCCACTGGACGCGGGTATTTCTTCATCTATTCAGCTCTGCAGATATGTATACACAAGCGGTGGAAGAATTATGTGAACCACTAGATCCATCATCACTATAACTTGATGGCAACACGGTCGATCTGTCAAGGAAGACTTCACTTGATGTTTCATCGTTTAGCGCAGTCCTCTGCGTCGCATCCTTTGATTGACTGATGATACATACTAGACGATGTCAAAATCTCCAATCGGTCGCTTTAAATAGCCATTCTCATCGTGAACACCTTTCTTTCAGTGCGTTACTTCCCTCTTCCTCGTCTTTGACAGACCCTCCTCATCAATGGCAAGCGACCAGAACAATTCTCAACTATTTGCCAACCCCGAAAATGTCCTGCAGCGCAATGGGCACTGCATTCCGCCGTTCTATCCTGATAGAATCCACGCATCTTGCGCCATGGAAGAGCTTCGACTATACATCGTCAAAAAAGGCATCAAGCCCGGCGTTTACACTTCCTGGTGAGATACTTCGTCTTTCGATGCTGGGTGCCCGTATCTCAAAAGGTTCTCTTTCAGGGAGTCTTGCCAGGAGCAAATTGACACATATCGCTTCCGGCCTGAATTCTACCGACGCAATGATTGGAATGCATGCATCGAGACATGGCAGAAGGACTGCCACCCTGGACCCCACTCCCATCCGCCACCTGTCCCCCTGCTCAACAGCTATGCAAGATGGAATAATTGGGCAGCCAGGAAGCGGGGTGTATGTCAACATCGTACTATGTCTTCAGAGCCAGATGTACCTCACACCCCGGATGCTGCACCTTCCAACACCACTCTTCCGCCGGTGGAAATCACACGGCCTTCGACTCCAGATGCCAATCCACAGGCTCCATCCTCCCCCTCTCCGGGTCATACTGGCTTGAGCACTCCAGGTGCTAGCAGCAGTAGCTCCGTCGCCAGCAGCTCTAAGACCGGGAAAGAGGATTTTTGTGTGGTTGGCTGCATGGCTACATGGTCGTGTGGAACATGGCTGTGTGGTCGTCAGCGTGGTTGACACATCATAGGTACAATCAAATGTCCATAGAACATGGCCTCGACACGTTAGCCTAGCGAATACTCCAGATTAGTACAACCGCCACTCCTGAAGAATTTTGGTATCATTAACATCATTTTTGTTGAATTAAATAATTTCTCGAGCGTTTCAATGGTATGAAAAGGTCGCAAAGGTCATTTGTTAAGCAAAAATTGGTGAGATACACGAAGTGGGGTTATTCACTTTATACTTCCCAGTGGATGCGATGGTAACAGGCTTTATAACGCAGTGACCCGAGACCATGTGTCCGTCATTGCGTGCTGAGCGGAATCAAAATCACAGACCTGGAGTCGGACTCGTACTCCCAAGAATGGCAGTGCTCATCGTGGAATAATTCAGTACGAATGTAAAAAAAGGGAAAGGCACTATTATCTGTGCACCCTATGCGACAGGAGAGTGGAGAAAGATAAACAATCGAATCAAAACGCGGGAAAGACCGAAACAGACTTAGATTACCGGTGGCTGTGCCCAATGATCTTCTTCGACCCGTTTCTCGTTCGACAATCGATGGAACAAGCAGACCTTGCATACGAATAAAAACCGATGAGGATACAACCTGGGAGGACATCCATCCTTCTCCTCTGCACGGTGAGGCGATTTCTAATCCTAAGATCCTGGTTAACCAAGATTACAGACGTGTAAACGGGTCAATCCGCTCACAACAGATAGATAAAGGCGTTCAGGCTCAAAATCCTTTGCGATGAGTATTCCAACTACATCCGTCGCTGGCGCCTCTTACATTCCCTTTCTTGTGGATTTCAATTTGAAACAAAAAGATGATTTAGCTTCATGTAGTCGTAAGGGACAAGAAGTATGGGGTTGTCTGAAGGTATTCTGATTAGTAGTTGGTGGAGCATTTACTGGCGTGGTACGTTCTAGTTTACAGGATCGCGTTCAGGACACCAATTCAATGTCACCCTTCCTAGAAAATTGGGAGTAACAACCAGAGGAATCTGAGGGGAAGGACGGAACTCTGTGTGCGTCTGCTGGTCCAACTAGGCTAAGTACTTTGCGAAAAATGGGTGCGTGTGCTTAAATTACATGGACGTAAAGAACCTGATATGATTACTTTGCCTGGGACTTTTGTTCGATATATCCCCATCACGTACTTTAAAACTGAGACGCGCCAAGAGATGAACGCGCATGAGTAACTTCGAAGGCGAACGATGCTTACAACAAGGATGACATGCCAGAAGCTTAGTGCTGTCCACGATCTGTTCAGCTTCTTATTTTCGCTTCGTATTTCCAACCTTCACGCTCACATTCGAGAAGATCAACCCTTCCAATCTTACCCTCCGATTTCTCATGGAAAGGTATTTTAGACCCAGCTCCGAGATATACTTAAAGATTGAATCCATCTATTAATATTCATCGCAGGGGCTCGCTACGTATTCCATGACTGCTGAATTTTCCAAAATGTACGAATCTATATCCATTGGTGCTCTCTGCGCCTCTTTGCACGTATCCACGAGTTCTAAGCTATTTGGCGTTCACAGTTTCCCAGCCATTCAGGCGCGGTTACCATCCGAGGCCAGGCGATTCTATCATAAATTCTACCCCATTCTATTTCTGCAGAGTCAAGTTCCTCGTCAGTCACTCTGTTTATTATTACTAATACTTGCGTTCCCTGCAGGTTTTTGCCATATGGTAATGTATTCATATTCTATCGTCAGCACTTTTTCCAGCTTATGTTTGCAGGTTCCTCGATATATACCATCCCACGTTCTACTTCATTGACATTCAAAGGACCGATGGTGAGGCTGGAATATCCCCCACAATATCGCGGTAAGGCATACCCCGAAAATCGACTTTATTCCAAAAACGTAGAAACCCTGTGGTTCACCTGATACCTATGTTCAGCTTCCGTCTTTCTGATGATATTTACAGGCTCTCTTAACGTTCCCTTTCCTCCCATCTCACAATATACACCCGTTGTATTGAACATATGCTTCTTCGCCATAAGATATTTATCCGTACATCTGGTCCCGTAGATTTATCGCCCTTTAGTTAGCCGACCAAAATCTTAACTCTTGGAGTAAGACCTGCTTTTTTTCATGAGTAATGAATCGATATCCCTCACACGGCACAATGGTAAACTTTTAAGTAGGGCTCGATTCACCCCTGGTGCATTTTATCGCTATTCCTTGATTTTTGGCTTTGGACACTGGTGAATGGCGCCCCAGCCACGGCAATAGTGAGCCGGTGTGATAAAGTTTCAGCGAGGGAGGCACGTTAGAAGAACATATACTATTTGGCTCCGGACCAGAGCTGACGTTCGACCATATTTACTAGATCGCCTTGAGTACAATTCTGTTGGTAGTCGAGTGAAGCGTGAAAGAATGGAGCGTATACATTCATTTAAATTGAGTTCTCGTACCATAGGAGCTATTGAGGTACTTAGTGCTAAGTTCTCTTGCCACGGTTTGAGCTCGCATAAAGAAGCTTTTTATGCTGCGAGCCACGGAAGCCACATTGTTTATTTTCTCATCTAAATAAAATAGGAAGATCTTATCTGCGTGCGCGGTCAGCATGAATCTGTTGTTTGGAAAGCTGTGAGAAAGGGCTGGTAATCGTTTAGTACGAACAGGGGCTGGGCACCTATGATGTCGCTGTTCTTTTTTCAAAAGAGTGAAGCAAGGGCGAGTCGTGCACAACATCGGTCTCCGCGGTGCGACTATTGCAGTACCGACCATTGGTTCTTTCCTCGGTGGGGTTGTAGCAGGAAGAAATCGGAATTTCCGGAAATGCCGTAGGCAATGTGGTGGGAATGGCTTAGTCACTGGTTTATTCGGCCCGTAACCGCACAGTTACCTTGGACTGCAACGTCCATGAACGACGCACCATACAACTTACCTGATGATGTCCTGATCTACGTTATCGCGTTTCTTCCCGTTCCTGACATCATCCTCCTCCGACAAGTGAGTATTTCCCGAACCACAATGATCCTAGCTGCTAATAATGACAGACATGCAAACGGTTTCAACGCGCTCACAAGAATTACACATCATCTGGACAAAACGCATTCAAACTCGAATATCCTCTCCAATGACTACCCCGCTCCCATCGATGACACAGATCTTGAGCAACGACACGCTTCACGCGTACCGACTCACGTCTCGATGGCTTGCTGACTCCTCTGATGGCCGACGAGCTAGACGATGTTTCACCGGGTCGCCTGTATCCGAAGTCAAATTCATACCAGGGCCGACAGCAACAAGTGGTTGCTGACCGTATCGAAAGGAATCTGGTCGGGTACTGACAATATGGGGATATCGCGCGGGGGGGCACAAGTCCTCAGAGTGGTCGCCAAGAGGCGCACTGTTCACTGGGGTGAAGCTGAACACGGATACAGAGTCCGAGGACTAGTATAGGCCGTGTGGCGTTGGATGGGTGAGTGCTTGTATGTTTCTGATGGTCCCACTCGCTAACATTGTGTGGATCACAGAGGATCGTGCTCCTGCATCTGGACGACAGATGGAGGCTGCACGAAAATTCGCTCCTTCGACATCGACTTCAGGCCTGTCACCCTGACTGGTGATATCGTAGCCCTCAGTGACAACTTCTCCAAGACATTGATCTACAACTGGAAGAATAACGAACAGGCCTACCTGGATGAAGGAGGTGACATGCAGGTAACCATTGCTAGCTGATCTAATTCTTGCTTATTCATCTGTGCTCACAGTATGACCACTGTATCCAAATCGTCTTCACCTCTCCAAACATTCTCGTCATCGTGCACGCTCCATCAACCTGTACTTTACATACCCTTCCTACATGGGCAAACACACTCTCCCATTGCCTCCCACTCCTTCGGCTGGGTCGATGGCACCAGTGCAACACCAACCTCCATCCTCATCCGTTCGAGAGCGATAACCCCTGGACATCAGAGCTTAACTCGTTCGAACTCTATTCCCTTTCTTTCCTTCCCGCTAACCCTCACCAGCAAAATATCCTCCTGGCACGGTGCTCTTCGATGCACAGACGTCATCCTCGGGAAACGTGGAACCGCAGTATGGATACGCCCCCATGATCGTGCGATGGTCTCCCACTGGGAAGAACACGATGGCTGTGAGACGCTCATGGCGGCCATATTCCCAAGCCCCGCTTAACCCCACTGCTCAACCCTGTGTTCGCGAGGTGTGCTCGAACCCGTTGAATAACTGGACGGCGTTGGATTACGACAAAGAACTCGGGAGAATCGCCCTCGGGTCGGGGTTTGGGAAGATTACGATTGTCAGTTGTAGTCAAAATACGTGTCCTTCATGACGTGCTGGATACGCTAACAAAACTAGGGTTCGGATCGTTTGGAAGGGTTAAATTTTATTGTAATCTTTTTCTTCCTTGCATGAGCCTAAGCTTGATTCTGCATACCCATTCTTCGTGCAAGTGACCGAAAATTTGAAAGGCAAATAGCCTAGTGAAAATACGATCTCTATCGTGGGTTCTGATTGGCCAGCTGAGCAGTTACTTAAAGGCGGCTTGTTTCCGCTATAAATAAAACTGCAAAACCAGTCTTCACGTAAATCTTCGTGGCGTTGTGGTGTTATGTGTGTTCTGCGCTGCTTTTCTGGGTTCGAGTCCCGGTCGGAGGATTGTCGGCCAGTAAAATATCTTTGGTATCATTGATACAAAAAAACTAGTACTCTGCATGAAACCTTCAGGTAGGTAATTACGGTTTTGTAGCGACACTGAGGGCAGTGTTTTGATACGATATTTTACTTATCCCGTGCTAAAAAACCACACGACTCGGTCGCAATTGCAATTGCAATTTTTTTCCAAAACCTCCTTTTTATACATTGCGCAACCCTAAATCCAACCACTGTGTCGTGATGATGTGGTATTATCCTGCGTTGCTCACCTGGGTTTGAGTCCCGGTCGAAGGATTCGCGATCAAAAGCAACACCTTTTTGTATCATCTCGCTCGATCTCTTATCGAACCTCCTTATCTCAGACTCGGACAGGATCAGAAAGGGCTTAGGGTACCACAGACAAAGCTATGGCTTTCTAGCAGTCGGTCACGTCCTCTCGCTCGGGTATCAGTCGGGTTCCTGCTTCGGTTTTAGTGGTACTTTCATTACATGACCCATTTCCAACCGGAATTCATATCAAAGAGGATCACGATGGACTTGAAGTTCGCGAACCCTGTAGAAACGAGCCTCTTTATTACCAGAGAGCACATCGCCTTCAGCCAGAGGAACAGAGACTCGTCTGTGACAGAGTCATCATAACAGGCGAGGTACAGTCAATGAACCCTATTATTTACCCCATATTGATATCGTTGCCCAGGGACATTCAACATGGGGAGAATTCAATCTTGTCGGCAGGGTTCGCCCATGTGACAGCTTCATCAGTCTCTCTAAGGACTACGTATGTTGCCAAGGTCTTGTCAAATTCGCTAACATTTACCTATACCTTATCTAGGTTGATGGCAATCGAGGAAAGTGGCTTTATCGGGGGTACCTTATCGGGAATGCTGACGGTAATTTGGCGGGAAGGTGGCGTGGCACTTTGAGCCCTGATGCTGTTCCCGGCTATGAAGGTTGCTTCACGATGTCACGGCGTCGATGAGTCATTTTGTTACGAGCGGTGTGCTATCTACCCACAAATACAGTGGTACTTTGTCCATATTGGTCATGGGTTATATGATGGTAGGTGGCAGAAATTTTCTTCGGACCTACAGACCAGCTTCGTTTTTCTCATCGCGATGAAATAAACAGTGGGTGTTTAATCCTTAACAGCGGATTTTTCTGTGGATGAAGGAAGCTGTCAATGGTGTGTAGCGCTTCGACGTGAGAGGATCAGTGCTGATGTGTGAACAGGGCGCTCTCGTTCCTAATTTGGTAAAAAAGACTAAGCACATCGCATGTCATTGTGATGGTAACATTCAATTTTGATGAAGAGCAGCGGAGCCAGTAGAACACCCAGTAGCAAAAGCTGAGCAAAATCTGACTGCCAATAGGCTAAGGGACCTATCTTTTTGTCACTCCCGCTCCGTCGAAGCCCCAAATCACCGCTCTCGCCAGTCCGTTTTCAATGTGGCAACTTGATCTCATGCGCGACCAGCAACACTCGGACCTCGCTTATAGGACCTTAGTGAACTTTGACGAAGAGATAGGTTTGATTTCTAGTCAAAATGCAGACATGTAATGTTGTCATTAAGAACTGAATACGGGAGGAACTGAAACGATCGAGCGATCGGGTCTAAAAATAGTGCTGGTTGTGTAGATCGCTCGAGCTGTAGCTCATTACAAAATGAACGTTCACAGCGCTTTGGGGCCCGAGACTACTGACATCATCTTTGAGCAGTGCATGGAAAAGAATTATTATAATTATATGTGTCTTTCAACAAGATTAGTATACTAAAAAGGGTCTACAATCTAGTGGCAAATAGTATTCTACACCTTCTACGCAATAGCTTAGTTGACATACGATGTTAGATTAAGCAGCAAGGATCAGGTTTACACCAGCAGCTAAGAGCCAAGGCAAGTGATGCGTCATTTACAGACCATTAAGGGATAGCAGTGAGGTGTGCGATTCTATAGTATCGGGAATTTAGATTCAAGATATCTTCAGGGTAGTTGACTGGCGAAAATGCCTAAGGGATGTAGAGGGTGACGTTCAGTGTGACGAGTCTATCATTTTATTTATAAATGAGAGGTGATCTGCGATGATAAAATTTACTTGCCATTACAGAATCGAGCATTTCCAGGAGGGCTGGTAGTCATTAACCATAAAGAGATACGCGAAGGAAGCAGTGACAGCAAAGAGATCCAGACTTGAAGAGAGACAGAGAACCGAATACAGAAATAGAGTGTCAGAGATGTAAAAAGCCAGGTGAGATCATGAAACAGGAAGAAAGAGAAGATTGCTCTGAAGTGGAATGGTAAGAAGGTATGGGTATCAGCAGCAGGGGATGTCTTACCGAGTGCCAGAATCATTATTTTCTGGTGCAATTTTGACACAGAGATTTTGCACCTTTAAAAAGTGACGGTTGTCCTCCCTTATCGACACAATATGCAGGACAGCAATACAATATGCTCCACATACAGGTGCACTTTGGACACTGATAAACATGGGTAGTGCACATAGAGGAATACCATTTGATGGTACGGAGGTAAAGCATCGTTACTACATAAAAATCTACTTTTTAACGAGGACTGAGATCATTGGACTCACAGTTATAAAGTGCCCTGTTCTACCTAGCTTAACGCCAAAGCAACAAAAAAGGAGAAAATGCAATATTTAGACAGCATTGGAGACAGTGATCCATTGTGGGGGTGAAGGGAAGAATGAGGTCTGAGAACACGATGCTAGTCCATAAATCACGAAGCTGGAAGAACACATACACCCAACATACACCATGACCTGGAAAGGTAATAAACGGTTGATGTAAAGCTCAAACAAGGACCCACAAGGACATTCAAGGGGTGGTCCATCTCAGCCCAGTGCTGTCCATCAAGCAGGATGCTGTATATATTCAGGAACATTGATAGATTTGTTCTCCTGGATGTGAGACAGTAACAATATCTTCGAAGTGGTACCGGTGATATAGTAGGAAGGTTAGGCCTGTAGTCTCCCCTAGGCAGACTTCTATCCAAATCAAGACAGTCGAGATTTGAAATAGAGTCTGCTAGCAGACACGCCCTGGATACTGGAGCACGGTTGGTTTTCTGTTATACTTTTTAAGGAAATTTGTCATGTGACTGCCTGCCCTCTCTACCCTTGCAAAAATTACTATCTGACGTCATTTTTAGGACTGCAAAGCACATTTATTGGCATGGAAATGTATCGTGGTGCTCAGGAAAACAGCTAAATACTTACTAGAAGTAAAGATATCTCCACAAATCACTATTAATAGTCCATTTTTATTAATTTGTAGGGTTAGGTCTTTTAACAGCTGTTACTTCGTATATCCGTGGTTATGCAACTATATATTGCCCAAAGGATCAAGTCATCCAAATTTAGTACTATGTGAGCTCAGTTGAAGACAGGTTTTGCAGCACAGAGATGCAGAATCGTTGGTTTATACCAATATCAAAGGAAATATTCCCTCTAGATACATTGTGGTTCCCTTTCAATGGACTTGAGATATTCTCCGAGATAATCTGAAGTCTTTTGGATGAATTTCGTGATACCCAAGTACGCAAATCTGGCTTCATACACATAAATGGTATTTTGGGGAATTAATGAGCAAATTTAGAGTGAATAATGATTGTACTTATTGAAATTTAGTTATGTGAGTGCTTTAACTCAAAACATACCAGAAAACACGTCTGAATACTCTGTATGGAGTGACAGTCGACTAGCATTGAAGAATGCATCGTGAATTTATGAGCTTAGTAATGTCGTCCACATGAGTTTCACGTGATGAAAAATCATGCTCCGGTATTGACCCCATTAGTAATTGCAGACTATTAGGCCTGCCCGCAGACCGGGCAGCAGACTGCCATGTCACATCATGCCCCTGGCCACCCCACTGACTCTGAGAATGTGGACCCACAATGAAAGTTCCTCCCCATGCGATAGCACATGTTTGTGAGTGTACAGCTCCAGCATTTATCTTTGCCTGATGTTGTGTAGCCCTTCTGGCAGGGGATGGTGACACTGATAGTGAACATGTCCTTGTTCGAGATGGGCATGTTCTGCATGTATTCGCTCCAAAATGGCACATCGTGGGGCAACATAAGTATACCCTGTTGACACATGTCAGAGCTTGTTCTAACAGCTTACTCGACTCGTTTTGTCACATAAATGTAGGTAGGATCTGTGACTCGTCTTTCATTACTAACCATTTCCCAAGGGATCTTGAACAGCTTACAGCTCAACAAATTGCCTGCTGGCTTACATCCGTTTCTCGGAAGACCACCTCCCCGTCTCCATGCTTGCTTTAGTATCCACCACGGCAGTAACATGTCCTGGATCCAGTGTTGTAGGGTCACCACACTCAATGGGCAGTGATTCCAACAGCCACTAATGTGTCTGGCTCCTGAGAATCTGGACTTGAAGTCACAGACTTGGCCAAACAGATGCCGAGTGCATAGTACCTATGTGTGAATTACCTTTATATGTTCAGGATGTGTCACTCTTTATTCATGCCAATGACCAGTCC